AATATTACGCCAGAGAGAAAACAGGAAGTTTTACATTTGATAAATGAGTATCGAGATTGTTTTGCATTAAATATGGAGGAATTAGGGTGTACAAACTTAACAAAAATGGATATTAAAGAAGTTGAAGGGATTAAGCCTATTTGCATGAAGTCGTATAAAACCAATGCCGAAGAGCGTGCTTCTATAAAGAAGATAATAAATGAATGGAAGAAATATGGAATTGTTACTGAAACAAGATCTCCGTATGCTAGTCCAGTTTTACTCGTAAAGAAAAAAACAGGTGAATTACGATTAGTGATAGATTATAGAAAGTTGAATTCGCAAACTGTTAAAGATAAATTTTCACTCCCTAGGATAGATGATCTTCTTGAATGTCTTAGTGAGTGTAAAGTTTTCACTACACTGGACTTAGCTCATGGATATTTGCAGATTCCTTTAACTGAAGAAGCGAAACTGAAAACAGCTTTCATCACTCCAGATGATACTGGTCAATTTGAACGTATGATCTTTGGGTTAGCTAATGCACCTGCAGAATTTCAGAGATTATGAATCAAGTTTTAGGTCCATTGCTTAATAAAGAAGTATTGTGCTATTTGGACGATATATTAATTCCGGCTAAATCTTGTGAAGAAATGATGGAAAAACTTAGGAAAGTGTTTGATAGATTGAGAGAAGCAATGCTGACATTGAAACTGACAAAATGCGAATTTGGAAAAGATGAAGTTGAGTATTTGGGATTTCTAATAAAATCAAATGGTATGCAACCTGGACCAAGAAAAGTACGAGCCATATTAAACTTTCCTAAACCAACCAATGAACATGAAGTTAAACAATGTTTAGGTCTTACAAGTTTCTTTAAAAGGTTTGTACCGAAATACGCAGAGAAAGCTGAGCCGCTAACGAGACTGACGAGGAAGACATTTCGTTGGAACGAAAATCAGCAAGATTCATTCAGTACTTTAAAGGATCATTTAACTAATGAACCAATACTAGCATTATATAATCCGGAAGCAGAGACTGAAGTGCACACAGACGCGAGCAACAAAGGGCTGGCAGGAATGCTGTTGCAAAAAGGTGAAGATAGAAAGTGGCATTTAGTTTATTGTGTGAGTAAAGGAATAACAGAAACAGAAAAGAATTATCATTCAAGCAAATTAGAATTAATGGCTATAGTTTGGACTTTGACACGACTTCGACAATTTTTAATTGGAATCCGATTTACGGTAATTACAGACTGCCAAACTTTAGTTTATTTAAACGCGAAGAAAACTTCAAATCCTCAGATAGCAAGGTGGAGTAATCTGATCCAGGAATACAATCTTGAAATAAAGCACAGACAAGGTAAGAAAATGAGTCACATAGATACATTGAGCCGATCGACAGTTGATCAGCCAGAAGAAACTTTAGACACTATAATTAAAAACAACTTGGAAGTTTGTTTAACGCTAACGATAGATGAACAAATTCTTATGATTCAGCATTCAGATCCAGAATTACGCAAATTAATAGACATTTTAAAGAAAAAGATAAATCATAGAACGAATGCAAAGAAATATGTAACTGAAAATTACGTCTTGAAGAATAATCGATTGTTTCGTAAAGCAAAAGATCAGGAAAAGGAGAAATTGTTATATGTCATACCTAAAGCGATGAGAAAAGGTATTGTAGTAAAATTTCACGATCTTTTGGGACATTTTTCAGCAGACAGAACTGTTGCCAAAATCAAGGAATCATACTAGTTTAAAGGAATGAAACGATATGTTATGCGTCACATTTCGATGTGTTTCGAATGCCTAGTAAATAAAATGCCTAGTGGTAAGAAACAAGGAGTACTGCATCCAATTAGAAGACCTTTTGCAATTATACATTTAGATCATTTAGGACCATTCGTAAAAAGTTCAAGAGGAAATACAGAATTATTTGTAATAATTGATAATTTTACGAGATTTACACTCTTATATCCTATAAAAAGTACTGCAACCAAGTATGTGTTAGTTGCATTGAAGAGTTTTGTAGATGATTTTGGGTTACCAGAAAAAATTATCAGCGATAGAGGAACATGTTTCACAGCGAAGGAATTTCGAGAGTACTGTCAAAATAATGGAATCAGTCATACACTCAATTCAACTCAACATCCAAGTGGTAATGGAATGGTGGAAAGAGCGAATCGAACAATTTTGGCTATGATTAAAACGAGTATGGAAAATCCGAATAAGAGAGACTGGGACAAAAAGATTAAGGAATGCGAATGAAATATAAACAATATGATAAATAAGACTACAAATAAAACTTTTTCGAAATGCTTCAACGACGGATTGATGAGGATGATTACAGATGAAGACGCAAATGAATGGGAGAATCCAGTAATCTTACAGGATGAAGCTAGAAAGAGAATTGAGGATATGCAGATGAAAATGAAAGCAAATTACGACAAGAAGAAAAGCAATTCTTTAACATTCGAACGAGGAGAAATAGTAGTTATGAGAGAGTACCTAAATCAACTGGAGAATCAACCAAAACACAACAAAAGTATCGAGTACCTTTGGTAGTTACAGAAGTTTTACCAAGTGATACCTATAGAGTGACTCAATTAGAAAAGAAGGTGAAAGGACATTTCTTTAGTACGACAGCTCATGTGAGCCAATTAAAATCATGGCAGTGTCAAGCTGAATCAGAAGAAGCCGATGATGATGGTGATGACATTAGTGGCACTGGGGATAACGATAACAACACGCCGCATATTACTAAAACTAGGACACGGAAAAAGAATAGAAAACGACGGTGAATCTATATAACAGCTTAAGACTTTCCAACTATAAACATTAATATTACAGATTTAATTTTTTTTAATATAAGTTCTTAATGTTCCGAGGTCCTAACTAAGTCAGGATGCCCGAATGTAAACGCAACGTATTCATTTTTTTAAAATGTATTTTCCCGATTGGCAACAACAGTTTTTTTTTCAGAACGATAATAATTTGAACTGTAATGTTTTTGAGCAGTAATGTTGACGGTAATGTTTCTGAATAAAGCAAGTATTTAACAATTAATGTTTGACGGAATGTGTTTTAATAAAGGAACTAATTAATTGCTAACATATATATATGATTATATATTTTAAATATATGATTGATTTGCTATGCAAAATGAAGGAAACCTTGCAGGGTTTCCCTCATTTTGCATAGCAAATTTTAAGTTGGATATCTTTCCTGAACCGTTCATTATCCTCACGTATTTTCTCGCCAGGATGCAGATTTAAAGTTAAGTGAGTATTAATGGTACATATGGCTTTATTGGAAGGATCAATCCAAACATATAAAACAGCTTAAGTATCACACAAGAGCAATGATATACAGGGTTCGGCAGGGAAACTTCCTTATTTGAACCATGTGCCATCTACGACATTTATTCCGAGAATGGTGGAGTGGCGCTCATTGAAAAGAGCGGTATGTAAAGTTTTATGTTATGTAGTTTTAGTACCGATTATGCAGTGGACGAGAGGGGATCGTGCGTTCTCGTCGTATTTTTTAACGTATTGCATTTTCATCCATATAAATTGGCAGTGGTGCAAAAACTTAATCCACGCGATTTTCTTTCACGCAAAAATGCGTGCAAATCCGTTCTTGACAACACGCCTCATGATGCCCTTGTGTTCTTTAGCGATGAGGCTCATTTTCATCTTTCCGGTTGCAGCATGCATTAAGCAAAACATGCGATAATGGAGTGGCACAAATCCCCGGAATTTCATGATCAGCCCCTCCATACAGAAGGTGTGACTGTTCGGTGTGCATTGTCCAGCATAGGTATCATTGGACCATGATTTTTTGGAGAAAATTTCCCTGGACGCCTTATCTCCTTACGAGGCGATCGCCAGTGGCCAGCGCGCTCGCCTGATTTAGCCCCGTGTGATTTGTTTTTGTGGGGCTATCTGAAATCTCTAACGTCCAAAGATCCCGGCTCAACTGAAGAACAATATTCAAGCTGCTATCGACAACATACCCGTTGATATGCTGATAAACGTGAAAGAAACTTAAAAACTCGACTATCTCAATACATTGTACAGAACGGAGGCCATTAATATTATTTGTAAACTTCAATGATATTATTTGTGAACTGGAATAAAAAAAAACTTTAAGTGTCTCTCTATAACTTGGAAAAACATTAAACTGATATCGCTTATACTGTTTGTGATATTCATTTTAAAAATAAGGTAGTTTCTCTGCTGCACGCTGTAAAATAAAAAAGAACAAACACTTAAACTAAGAGCCAGAATAAAAGAACATGGAAACAAAATTTAAAAATTTAGATTTAAGAGTTTCCTATAATTTCTCAAAAATATGCTTTTTAAGTGACTTTTTTAGAGGAAGCAGTTTGCTGTCTTGTGGCTCAAGTGTTCTTGGCCCTTTTCTTACATGTGAAGGGATCCATGAAATAAGTATTTAAACGGGTGAATTTCGTAGTTTATTCAGAGCGTGTTTTCGCTAGCCAGCACACATTACAACTCTGTCCTTGCTGTTACGCCTTTTTGGCTATTTCAATAAGTATCACGCAGGGTAGGTTGTCGAGTCAGCCCTGTTAGTCTTAACTTAAAATTGTTAGTGCAGCACTACTCTTTATCTTTGAATTTATCGTGTAACGATTCTTCATCTTCCACCGCAAGGTGCCGGTTTTATTGTAAGCACGAAGCACATGCCTTTTCTCTTCAGGAGTTTGACGAATAATAAAGGGTTGTTTTATACCCTTCTTCCATCTTGGTATTCTTTACGACTAAGCGAGAAGACGCCAGGTTCCTTAGTAGGATCTAGCAGAGTTTATTTACCAAAGAGAGTACGCTCCTACAACTTTTAGAAATTTAGTCTTTCAGCCTTCCTTAAATATGTTTAACTTCCTTAAAAATACAACTCACAGTAATATTTCGCATTACTTGCAATTTAATAAATTCCATTTACTTGGTTAACGCCTTTTAAATTTATTTTCAATTTAACGTTTTACATGTTTACCTTTTCGTAGTTCACTTTCTTTACTACATATCTCTTGGAAGAATGTTGTATTAAATTGAAAGCTGATGAATCCAGCTACATTTATTTCTGCAGGGATGTAATAGCTTTTTCTTTTACATCGTTCTGTCTTTTCCTGTATGCACTTGATAGAATCCAGTACGTCTCTTAAAAAAAGAATATATTTTGATATAGAATATAGCAAAAATAAATGCAAAAAGTACAATTTATTATTTTACCCTTAATTTTATGTCTCATAACCTTCATTAAATAAATATATAAATTGTTTTATAAACAGACAGGTTTTATCAAAAGCACAATTTTACTCCACTTTGTATAAAAAAGTAATTTTTTTAAAAAACGCAAGAACAATATATTTTATAGGAAAATAAATACAACTGATTTAGTAATATATCAGCACAACACTTCTTGAAAGCTGAATTCTAATAAAATAATATAATGTTCGTAAATATTTCTGTGATTTAATGAAATTTACAATTGTTTTGCTACAAAAGGCGTGCGATTACTCGAGCAGCAGCAGCTTCATTTTTACGTTCATTTGATTAAATTTCTCTCGCTTTGCAGACAAAGGAAGAAGGAAAAGCTTTGTTGATCCCATTGATGAAGAGGAAACTCCTTTTTAACTGTAATGAACATAAGGCTTCTCAAACTTCCTGTTTTCCGTCTGCTGGTTTAAGAAATTAACGCAGCCAGTAAAACAAATATTAGCCAGACGCTAGTAGCTATCCGACAACTCATACCTCACCTGCTGTTATTCAAAAATTCTAACATATAAGAACTGAAGTTAGCGATTGATTTAATTCGCATGAGATAACTTGCTACATTTTTATAAATTTATTTCCTTGGATTTTGAATGTATTTTATTCGAAATCCATATTACCTTGGTAAGTCTTTCACTTTCAAGCAGTGTTCAAATCAAATCCCAAACCACGCTTAAAAATGAGAATTTATGCAATAACAGTAACAATAGAATACCACTGAAAATCATATTAAGCTAAATAAAATAGAATTTTCTACATACGGGCACAATCTTGTTAGATCCTCTTCAGTCGGTAAGTCCTGAAGGGGAAATATTCTTTTTAGCCTCCTTTCACAGACCCTTATTTCCCAACAAGCTATACTGATTTCTATGAATCCTGAAAAAGAAATTAAAGTTAGTGTCGAAACAGCATTTTGTTTCCATAATATGTCAAGACAATATCTTTGATATTTTGTAGGGTTCCTTATGTTTCTTGTCTAAGATAAACGCTGAGGAATCTAGTGAGCTGCGTAGCGACTTATCCTTGCGTTCAAACAGTTAAAGAACTAAACAACTCAAGAAGCATTAAAATACCCTTTATTTCACTCAAAGAAGAATAACAGTTGACCCCTTCTTCGGGCTTACAACAAAGCCTCCACGCGGGCTTAAACTCAGAATAAGAAATAAGAACTAAACTATAACTAACTAAAGGAGGCTTAGCCGAAAGCTAACACAAGTACCTAACGTAGTCGGCCATTAATTTAAACCTAATACATAAAATATAGCCAGCGAATATCAAAGGGCACGTAATAATACGGCCGAGCGTAACAGCTTCAAGAGATACTTAGCCGGGAAGGCAAACAAACATGCGCTGCTCAGGATTCTTAACTCTCTCTCACGAAGTAATTTGAATTTTCCTTAAATAATTCTTCTAACTCCTTTGCATTCAAAGCGATTCTTAAAACTCATTCTGGTAGGGAGTAATAAGTGGAAACAAGAACTGATAGGAAAAGTTATCCAAAATTAAAATATACCTTACAACTTTATTGTAAACACAGCACCAACCAACATCGAGTTATTCCATAAAATCTCTAACAAAACTCCTATAACAAACATGCACCTACAGCAAATTAACAGTGGAAGAAATAATTAAAATTGATGGTATTTTATCAAATGCAATAAAATCATTGAATCTGTCTTTTTAATTAAGTAATAATTTCTCATAGCGTATTCCTTTCCAGGATAAATGCCAATTTAAAATTTAATGGAATTTTACAGTTTGATACATTACAAAATTTGCCATGTTTTAAAAGCTTTTTATTTTATTCAGTTCTTAAAAATATGGGCTGCGACCAAGATATTATTTCAATTCATTATTCAAAACTTTACAAAACTTTCTCCAAATTTTTTTTTCTTATTAACGATGACAAAAGAGAAGCGGATAACACTTTTTTTAGCACCAACATTTTATTGCAAGATATCCTTTATTACGATTGTTCTAAAGGGCAAATAAATTATTACATCTAAAGTTAGCTTACCTTTAGGAAATATTTTTCTGGCGTCGAGCTTAATGTTTATTATCGCCACCTAAGCACTTTTCGATCACTTTTGTTTTGGCTGTACTGGAACATTCGAAGCTGCTCAAAATAAGGTACAGCGTTTTATAAAATACATGTACATGCTATATGTGTGAGAGATGTACACAAAAATAAAATCTGACTTTTAATTTTCTTGTAGCTATTTATAGGTACCCTATTATTTATATTATTACTTTAAAATACAGGAGAATTTAAAGCTCCTAAAATATTCACCTTGTTTCACTTACTTAAAATAAAAATTCCGTAACATTGCGTTCAATGCTCGTCGTTCGTCGAGATACGCTTAAATAATTTCAAGGGCAATTTTAAGTAAAATATCAAATGGTACTTTACCAAAGACGGAATTAATCGCCAAATGAGAAAGATTTTTATAAAACCCGTCATTAGGCTTATAGAGACATCGGGTATTTTTTGAAGCAAGAGATTTGAAAAATGAACGACGCCCTCGCCCTGAATCGAACCACGGACTTCTGGAATACGAGCCCGGCGTGCTTCGAAGGCATACCGAAAAGGTGGGAGAAAAACCTTATCGGAAAATTTGTTGATTACCAATAACAGGCGGGGTAAATGGATCGAGTTATTTTAAGATATCTTACAACGAAATTCAAGTATTATATTAATTCAGTTTGATTGCCGAAAGGTCTAGTAAATTGTTAAATCAGTAAGTTAGTTGTCGATAAATACCTACTTGAACTATTTTATCCTTTCTTTTGAGTAAGTGTGAGTTTTAAATATATGTCACCAACGCATAGATTTATTTTCATACAGTGTTATCTAAAAAAATCACGCATGAACTTAAGTTTTAAGGACTTTACTTTCCAATTCTTTATCCAATACACTTGGTTATTGAAGGAGATAATAGAATTTAATTATTGACTAATTCGAAAGTTCAATGCGATTTAAAATTCGTGCTATAAATTTCTGCAACACTATAAGGTATTTCTCCCGCTTTCCTGGCGTGCCTTCGTGGGGTAGTGATTCTGCACGTTGGGTCGGTATTCCAGAGGTCCGCAGTTCGATTCCCGGCGAAGGCGTTTTAATTTTTCATCTTTCCTGCTTCCAAAAATACCTAATATCTCTACAGTGGCGCCCGAACTAAAAACGCGTGTTGGCTGAGGATTCTCCACACCCAGGATTTGGGTCCCCTAAAAACCTCAGTCGCCCTTTAAAAAGGGCAGTATATAAGGCATTTCTCCCGCTTTCTTAGCGTGCCTTCGTGGTGTTAGTGGTTCTGCACGCTGGACCGGTTTTCCGTGGTTCGATTTCCGGCCAAGATGTTGTTAATTTTTCCTCTTTCCTGCTTCCAAAAAATACGTAATGTCTCTACAATACAGTCTCATTGTCATAGCAACAACATTAATCTATCTAATAGAAGAGTATTTAGATATATAAAAATTTCCATAGTAAATTTTATATTAAATTTAATGCATTTCATGTAGCTTTTAAGGCACAAATGTTTTACGTGTAACTATAAATTTGCTTTTTTAAATAAGTTAGAAAGATAATAATAAAATTTAAGAAATGAAAAAGATTAATTACAGTAAATTATTTGAGTAGTCACCTCATATCATTCCCGGAAGAAATCTTAAAACATACCTAGAAGCATAAGCAGTGTCAAACGGAGCTTCCACATGTTGAGTATCAAATTCAATATTTTATGAGAAACTATCCTAATCTTCTCACTGAGAATTCTGTTCTGGTTTTAAGGGTCTAGGTACTCAAATAACTACCTTCTGTGCATGAGTAGAGGTTGACGACTGTCTTTTAATTACAGGAAATTAATACAATTATTTCCTGTAATTAAAAGCTAAGAAGCGAAGGAAATCCTCATCTAGATGTCGATAGATTATAACTGAGTGTTAAATGGCATGATAACCTTCAGTAGTTCTCAACACGTTCAAGTGGGATTTACAACAAAAAGTCCCACATACAGTTTCCACTATTTACAAAACCCATTCTTTTTAATATACATTTTGACGACATGTTTCTTGGAAACAACGCAAGAATTAAATATTATAGAAAAATAAAGAATTATGAAAAGGAACTTACAGATAGAATCACTAATCGCCAAATTAAGCATTTATTGATAGGATCATAACAGTGATGAAGAAATCAATAAGGTTGTTGCTAATGATCACTTGTCTGACCTATAGTTAGCCCAAGCCCAGGAAATTCCTCGTGACAAGGAGAGCAAGTTTACGCTCGTCGTTTGGCAACTGCCTTGAGGCACCTTACAGGTGACAGTGCCATTTAACTCAGTTCCGCCCCAGTTTTGATGATGGAGAGCACCCCGAGAGGACGGGTTCGAGAGTCTCCGACTTTCCTCTTCCCTTACTGCCAACCTCTCGAGAAGACTTTCGTCTCGCCGCATATTTAGAGTGCCCCCTGCCACACGGGCACTATACATTTACAAGCATCTATGCCTTTTCTGGGATTCGAACCTTCGAACCCGGGCCCTTCGCCATGGCCGATTGGACATCATCAATAAGGTAAAACACCTGAACCGAACTGTAAAGAATCTCGAGTTTAGAAGTCTTATTCGCCCGGCCACTGGCGGCCTCTTCAGCCAAAGGAATTGTCATTCCACTTGAAACGGAATATTCTTACACGCTAATAAGAGGAATCTAGTCCAATATTAACTACCTGAAAAGTGTAAATATTAATTCGGAATTTTCCGAATAAAAGGTATTCCTTTCTGGATAATTTTCTTAAACAATAAATAATAATAGTAATAAATTTATTAAATTAACCACTAAAATACACCAAAAGAAAAAAAAAGGAAAATTTGAAATATTTCAGATTTTAAATTACGTCCAAAGGGGCGTTTCGTAACATTTTGTGTGTTACATTTATTTATTAAATATCATGTTCTTCGCACTTTAACCATAGAAATCAGTTCGACAGCAATATCTCAAAATAATTTTAAATTGAGAATCTATCTGTAGAATTTCCGATACATGATCTCACCGCCCTGGAAATAAAAATGTTTTTTCTGTACAACGTTGCCATGGGTCGCTTTGAAATCCTTGAGTTTGTTAATCGAAAATTCGTTAAAGTTTTACAAAATATGAAATCGATCATAAAACAAATTCCAAATTTCAAATTCGGTTTTCCACATGCCCATATTCGTAGGAGGATTACGTGATTCAAAATTCGACGGATCTATGTACCGTTGTTTTATTACGATGCGAGAAATATACATACATTTATGCAGATTTTTCATCATTTAATTTCTTAAAATAGTCCTTCAGGGACAAAGAGACTTTGGACTAATACAACTGAAGATAATTAATTTTTCTTATCTCTGTTATTATTACGTGGTTAAATCCTTTTCAAATTAAATCCTATTTCTCGCTACTGATTTAATATTTTATTTAAAATCTCTATATGAGAAAAGCCTTAAGATGAGCATCTCCTTATACAGAACGATTTTGATCTTCTGTGGAGGAAATCGCCCTGTAGGAGGTTAGTGTCGGTGATGATGAGTTTCGATTTGCCCAGTGAATTTACCCTATTCCATGCTCTTGGAAAGTGTTTAAAAAATACTGAAGTAGATGCGCGATGTAGCGACTTGTTAATAAATCAACATTTTAATAAAATAAGGTTTTAATTTAAATAATAAATCGCAAGCAATGCAACAAAAACAAATATTCCCCACAAGCACTTATTTTACACTTTCGATTTGAAATGCAGTAAACAAATATATTGAAGTATTAAATTCTCTAATACTTTAAGTTCTAGATATGAACTAATTTAAGTGCTTTATTTAATGCTATTTCTTCCAGTTATCCAAAAGTGTCTAATTGACTTAATATGGATACATGACGACTAAAACACTACATTAAGATTTTAGGCAGCTAGGAATCAACTTCAAATATGGGTTTAGGTTTCAAAGGTATTGTAATGTTAGTAATTATTTTTTTAGGATCCAAGGTCACTGCATGCTTTCGTGGTGGGACGGTAGCACACGCGGCGCGTAGTCGAGAGGTCCAGGTTCGCGTACCGGCGAGGGCATTGCTCATTTTTCAAGTCTTCTGTTTGAAAAATACCTAATGACTCTACACTGGGGCCCGAACTAAAACGTAGTGGATGATGGTTCCTCACCAACAGTTTGACGACTGTGTACTGTGTCCCTAATCCCCAGTCACCCTTTAAAAGGGGGAGTATGTAAGATATTTTCTCCCTCCTTTCTGCATGCCTTTGTAGTGCAACGGTAGCACACTCGGTACGTATTCGAGAGGTCCAGGTTCGAGTTGCGATGAAGGCACTGGTCATGTTTTATAACTTAGAGAAGTTGTGCGATAATCCAAGTATTACAGATTATTGTTTGTTTGTTCAAGAAAAACACAGAAGAACTAAAATCAAGGTTCCTCGAATCCTCAGAATTGGAAAGAAGAGCGATGTAAAGTTTTCTCTCCGGCATTTAATTTCATAAGGAAGGAATAATATCTTAAAAGCAACATATGTACATATATCAGCAACTTATAATTTACCATTATTTCAGAGTATCTATAATTTTTATGGGGTAAAATCTGCACAAATCTTCAGGACAGGATAATGGAAGGAAGTCAGAAATAGGAAGAACTTTGTTTCCATCCTCCTGAAAACTGGGAAGCATTTCATGAGAACTCTAATATTTTTAATTTAATCCATGCTATCACTGATTAGCCACAAATGTATTTCTTTTCTAAAGGAACGCTAAATAAACCCGTGTGATGTTCCCTCCACACATAAAAAAAAACTTCCCATATGTATACTGCATCACTAATTTTTCATTTACTTGTAGCTTTTAGTGCATTGAAAAGAAAAATAATTTCATTGCTTTAAACCTGTTTAGAAATACGAATGTTTTATGAAACATTCGTATTTCATAAACATTCGTATTTCTATACAAGTTTAAAGCAATGAAAAGTTTTACGAAATACGAATGGTTTATTTTTAATTGTATGCCTCATCTTAGAGAAATAAAACATAATAAATAAAGAAGGTACATTTCCTGATTTCATTGTAGTGAGCAGGTATTTGGCAAACAGAATAAAAATCTGATTAAGTATTCTGATGAGTTATGGTCCAATTGATCCGGATGCAATGGAAGCAAAAAATGGAAAATATATCGATATTATTTCTGAATATAAAGTATTTGTGAGAAGTTTAAAGTAACAACGGTTTATTTTTTTCACTATTTACACTCTGTCAAAAACTTCGAAAGCTCTTCAGAATAATTGTTTATACACTGGTGTGCAAAAATTATGGACAAGACGGTTTTTTCAATATAACTTTGTACAAAAGCTTTCAAAATCTACACATTTAATACCGTAAGATCCCCAATACGTAAGGACATGAGTAATGTAAGCAACACTTACCAAAAGAGAAATCAGAGGGATAAAAAGAAGCTTTATTGAAAAAGTAGCATGGAGCGCAATGCGACTGAAGGCCGAAACATCCCTGTGATGGGTGTCCAGCAAGAAACATCCGATCTTTAATAGGGGATATGATCTCCCCTGACTGCTAGGCAGGTTTCACAGCGTCTGCCCATGCTGAGAATGAGGGTGTCAATGAGTTGTTGAGGCATTGCTGCCCATTCGTCTTGCAGCGCCAAACGAAGCTCCGGAATCGTTACTGGTGGTAAGGTACGAGCTGCCAAGCGTCTGCCTAGAAAATCCCATACATGCTCGATGGGATTGAGATCCGGAGATCGTGCCGCCGGCCAATCCATACGTTCAATATCCTCACTCTCTAAGAGCTGTTCGGCAGCTACTGTGCGATGACATGGTGCATTGTCGTCCATGAAAAGAAACTGCGGACCCATAGCGCCTCTAAAAAGACGTACATAAGGAAGAAAAATCTCGTTACAATAACCGATCCCGTTGACTGAACCTGCGTCGAAGATGTGAAGGTCTGTACGACTACCAAGCATGATGCCTCCCCAAACGAGAACACCGCCACCTCCATACCTGTCCCTTTCAATGATGTTCGAGGGATGATTGCGGCTTCCCCGCTCTCTCCAGATGAGTATGCGATGAGAATCGCTACTCAGACTGAATCTGCTCTCATCTGTAAAGAGTACTCGTCCCCATTCATTGTCTCTCCAATTCCGGTGTTCCCGGCACCACAGAGAACGCCTTCTCCGATGGGCAGGCGTTAGAGGTACACACCGTACAGGGCGTCGTGCAAACAGACCACCACCGTGCAGTCTTCTGGCCACGGTAAAACGCGATATCGGTCGTCCAGTCGCCTGTGTCGTCTGTCTAGCGATTTCTCCCGCTGTCTGCCGCCTGTTTCTTCTGGCCTGTAAGGCAATATACCGGTCATCTGCGGGTGTGGTTCCTCGTGGACGACCACTACTAAACCCCCGGATAGCTGTTCCTGTAGTTTGAAATTGTCTCCAAAGTCGTGAAACGATGCTGTGAGCAATTCCGAACTCTGCAGCCACACTTGTCACACTGCGGCCTTCCTCCAACTTCCCAATGATTCGACCTCGGGTAAAAGCATCCAGATGTCGTCTAACAGATTGATTATTCGCCATTTCTCGCTGAGGCAGCAACTCGGTGTGATTTTAAACTGCTATACGGCGTGCAATCTCTTTGCCAGAAATACTGATCTTACACCGACAACATGCTTTATACTACTCAGACACTCCCCCATTACGTCTACCTGCATATCTGCGCATGTGCTACCGTACATCACCTTACTTAATCTCCTGATTGGTCTTTCTGTCC